GGGGGGGGGGGGGGTTAGAATGGCTTCGGTTCATGGTGTCAGTACTGTGTCAGTTGTACTTCGAAATTCGCGTTGACAACGTGGCCCGAAAGAACTTCCCGCAACGAATCTAACCGACCTCCATTTCACTGCACTCGTGAATCCAGTAGTGGTCGGACATCCTCAGCACCATCTAAACAAAAACAATAACACACTACCCTCGCATCCTGCCCCTTCAACCAACCTGCAACCCCCTCATCTTCAAAGCAAGCTCTCCCCCAATATTGATCTCGGCCTCATGAACTTTACCGACTGTAAGCCCGCAAAGCTCGATAGACTACCAGGCTGTTGCTCCAAGAAAACTAGCCGAGGCAATTTCTACTCGTAACATATCTGAAGAACCCCTTTGCTACCTATCTCTGCCTGCTGCTGTGCTGGGTTCCGCATCGCCCTCCGCGGCTTGCACGAAGGAGCTCAAGGCCTCGGGCAGTTGCGGCATCTCGGGTGGGTTAGGGCTGACTCCATGAACCAGTAAACCCTGAAGCCCCTGAAGCCGCTCGAACCGAAACGTCGATTGCGGCTAAGCGCCAGGACTTGCAATGGGCCCATGCCCATGAGGAAGGATACTCTCAAACTGCCAAATTCCGGCTGCACCCCAGATACCCAGAATATCTCTGGATCAAAAGCCCCAAAAAGATGCTCATAGCATCCCGAACAAGCCCCCTCTCTGAGGTGCAGCGGAAGCCGCCGACTCTGCATCAGCTTGCTCAGAAGGCCCTCGGTGGCGCCGGCTCGAAGGATTTGGCTTTGGGGGCTCTGGGGACTAGCTTGCGAATTTGGAGATCGTTGGGCTAGGTGAGGTTGCTGTCTACCCAGTGGTCAGCCCTGATCCCGGCCCCAATTCTTCCGTGAACCCTTTCAGTCCGCGGTGATTTTCGATGTGAAAGCCCCTAATGCTCCTGGAGCCCAATCTTAAATTCTCCCACTGCAGTGTACTCGAAACCCAACAGCCAATTGCCCCCTTGAAGCCGTGCAGGGAGGCCTTAAAAAGCGGGGCTTGAGCTTTGGCCGATCGGTTCAGGGCTTAGGGTTCAAAGAGGCCTCAAGCCCTCCTGAGTCCCGAAACCGATACCGACCAAATCACATTGAGAGTAGATCGCCAAAGAGGGTTTGATGTGGGAAGCTCCTTGCATGAGTCTTAGGTTCGGAACAAACAAGGATTAAGACAACTGCGGCCCAAACCCCAAACCTTCAGCCTTATCTCCAAAGCCTGAATAGTCCGTCCTTCCTCCTGCCTAGTACACCACGAACTTTTCTTTGGCAGGGGGTGGGGTTTAGGACGAATACGGGGGAACTAGTGAATGAGCCGTGCAGGATATCGGATGACCTATGAGTGCGCATGAGCATGAGAGGAACTGATGACGAGGTGCCTAGGAACTTCGGTTTGTAGCGACTTGTGGCTTCGGGCATAAAGCCTGCTGCCCAGAGAAATAAGTGGATCAGTCACGCTCTAAGTTGAGGCATCCTCCCGCACGAGAACTGGCACGGCAAGCTAAACAGGCGAGAACATATCATTGCAAGTGTGCTGCAGCATCACACTGCAGGTCCCCCGATACCTTCCCGCTGCAACGTTGTGTTGCTGCACTGTCCACGTTTGTCTCCGTTACCTGTTCGGAGCAAGCCTGCCACCTGCAGGGCACGCGCGCCTCCCAGCACAGTACCTGCAAGTTATGTTCTTCATCAGCCGATCAGGTGTGCCGTGAGGAACCTTCGTGCGAGAAGCGGTGAACACCTGCATTTTGCACAAGCATGGGGGGATGCATCCGAGCTGTGGCGTTGCTAAAGTGGTCTCTTGACCAGCAAGGCAGTGCTCGGCTCGAAGCTCAGCCTTTATAGTCGGGTGGTCGGATCAACTAGAATGCAGAACCGGGGCCTGACCATTGTCAAAATCATCAGTGACTCCTTGTCAGCACTGGTGAAGCATCATGAAAGCCTGCACTTCCGAATGATGGTTAATACCTTCTGGCTCGCAGCCAAATTTGTGCCAGCTAGTCCTATCTCAGCATCATCGTGGTACCTGCCTGCGGTCTGAAGTGTGCCTGGGTCGATCGAGGTTTGGACCAAGCAGGGTCGCACCACTTGCTACAGACGTGGTGGTGGAAGAAGTTCTCGATGCCTCTGGGCCCCAAATCCTCAGGTCAAACACGATCACGGGCGAAAACCTTTCCAGCCAGCTGGAACTCCGAACAAAAACTCACCAATTCCCAATTCCCGAGGCTCGGTAGGTCCAAAGCGCTTGTCCTTGGAGTTTATCACGGGATCTGTCAACACCACCTCTCCATCCTGCACCGAACCCTGCAGGTCACAAAGGACGAGGTCGCCCTGACTGTGGTGGTAGGAGAAGTGGCTCAGGCTTTGAAGAGCCTCGGACCAGTTTGTGGACCCCTGCCAGCCGGTGTTAGAGTTGAAGTTCTGAAAGTTAGAGAGAAAGGGCTCCACCAGCGTCCTCTGCTTGCTCCTCGTCAAATGCCAGACTTCGGCCCTGCACACCTTGACGTAGCTTCCAAACTTCTTCGCCTTGTTGAAGGCATCCACTATCTTGATGGACTGTAGCCTTGGTCGAAGAACTGATCCTCGTAGGCTTCCTTGCCGTCCTTGAAGACCTTCGAAACTTTAGCCTGCCCTGCACGAATTCCCTGCGTGTACTGGCCTTTGTAGACCTTCCGGAAGCTTCCTTCCCCGATGGGAGTGTTAAAGTCCGTCGTGCCGGCAGAGGCATCGTTCTCATGAGCTGCGGTCCTCGGGCGTTTCAACTGCTGCGCCCGCTCGCTTTTCAAAGCAGCCTTGGCCGCATCAATGAGCTTTCCCAAGCCTGGCTGCTGAAGGGTCTTTTGCCCATTCAGTACTGCCTGCTCAATGTCGTTCCCACTGAAGCCTTTCTCACCAGACTCCTGGAAGTCGAGCTTGATGTTGCGAACTGCCCGAGCTGCTTCCCTGTTGTTCCGGAAAGGGTTCTCCGGCTCCTTGTTTGGTGGAAAGCCCTGTCGGTGGTTGGCAACCACATCGAACTCAATAGTAACCAGGCACTTGTTCACCGTCACATGAATGCATCTCGGATTCACGCTATCTATCACGTAGCCTCTCGACTTGATGCCCGAAACGATGAGGTTCCACTGCTGCTCGGTGATGGGCCCTGCACCAAAGACCATGACATCTATGTCAGACTCACCAGCGATGTCCGTACCCTTCATAAAGCTACCTGCCCGAACAAGCTTCGCCGAGGGTCCAAGGACCTGCTTGACCACGGCCTCAAAGTCCCGGATGCCTTCCCCTATGGCTTGGAGCTGTTCTTGCGTCCAATGCCCGCCTCGGAAGCCAAGAATCGCTTGGGGCTTAAGCTTGGGTTCGGGTTCAACAGTAGACACTCCAAATCACCCAGGGTCGATGACTTTGCGCCTGCCATCAAAGATTGTGGGCTGCAGCTAATCCCAGAAACCAACATCTCCACATACTACCAATATCCTATCCCTGAAAGCACTGAACACACGTCGAACTTAACCACAGGCAACACGCACTGCACCAAACCACTCCGAGTCTCCCATGTCAGCTCGATGCTGCAATTGCCCGTCACTCAGTTGAGGGCCCTCGGTCACACGCCCGTCGGCGTGGACAGTCCGCTTGGTGCCCCGAACGGTCACCGAAAGGCCCTCGACTCGTGAGTCAGACTTCTTCCGAAGCTCACCTTCAACATCGCTCAATTGAACCTCGGCTATCTGGCCAAATCGGAGTCACTCTCGGCAAAACCGCCACGTAAGGCTTGGGAATTTCTGTGGCCATCACGTTTCCTCTCCCGTGACCGCTATTTAGTTTTTTTCGCCCGCTCTGGGTTCCTACTACTACTACTACTACTACTACTACTACTACTACTACTCCTACTACTGCTACTACTGCTACTACTGCTACTACTGCCACTATCACTCCCTCACTAGCTCAAATACTAGGAACATTCAATATACTATTCCCCGACATGCATAACACACTTGGCACTCACGTATCGCGGCAAGCTGTTTGGGAAATCGAACACGTACGGTCATGGTCCTGCTTCGTTCCATCTGGTGCGGAATTGTAGAATTCACAGTCCAGCCATGAAGCAACTCGAGTTGCAGGGTGTTGTTTCGCGGTAGCCTGGTTGGGTAATCGACCTTGTAGGTTCTTGCCTCGAGGCAAGCTGATGCGCAGTTCGTCAAGTTGAGGCAGGAGTAGTTGCGCCAGAGGCAGCCGCAGCACCACAACCAGCACGAGCAGCAGCAGCAGCAGCAGCAGCAGCAGTAGTACGAAAGCAACAAGATGACCAAAAATGCATGACATGGTCATCTTGACCCCCCCCAAGATGATCAGATGGCCGAGCAAGATGACCTAGCTGACGAAATTGCAAGACTACCAGGATGACCGGAACAGACAAAGGCTCTAAATTCCCGGCACATAGTAGTAGCAGTAGCAGTAGC